CAGGGTTGACTCAGCCTTCCATCCTTCCCAGGTGGGTAAAATGAGGACCTGGATTGTTGTTGGGGGCAATATGCTGACTCTGTAAACCGCTTAGATGAAGCGGTATATAAGTCTAACTGCTATTGCTATTGCTATTTATGGCCAGTTGCATCCCACAGCGATACAATTGCGTTTTGCAATTTATTTATTTTTTTTGTCATTTTTTTGAGAAAATACACCCATTGGATAAGCAGGATTTGGGCTTTCGACCACATTAGTCTCTTAATTGCCATGATGTCTTGCTTAACAACTGCTGTAAATATGGTCATAAATTTGAGTTGTCATGTGGTGACTCAACTTACAACCAAAATTCCAGATTCAATTGTAGTCATAATAGAAGGATCATCTGTATTTAAAACCTTCAAACTATGTTATCCCCACAACAGAGCACATTCAATTATACATTAGTTCTACAATGAGCTAAGTTGAGAATATTCTCTACTAAACTAGTATCAACTACCCTGTTTCCCTAAAAATAAGCCCTCCCTGGATAATAAGCCTAATTGGGCTTTTGAGCACATGTGCTAAAACAAGCCCTCCCCCGAAAATAAGCCCTCCCTGAAAATATTGCAACACAGCAGCAGCCATGAGATAACCACGCTCACTGCCTCCTGCGCACCTCAAAAATAATAAGACCTCCCCAAAATAAGCCCAAGGGCTTATTTCGGGGGTCAAAAGGAAATAAGACCCTGTCTTATTTTCAGGGAAACACAGTAGTTGATACTAGTCAATACTAAACTTCCTTCCCGGCGCTTTTAAGATCTATGAGTTACAATGTACACCCAAAGCTGTATTCGTGTCAGAAATTGTTAATTATTAATTCTCTCCATTTCAGGGGTGTCAAACTCACGTCATCACCATGTGATGTATCGGGACTTCTCCTCCCCTTTGCTAATCCAGATGTGGACATGGCCATTATGTGACGCATCTGGCCCATGGGCCGGGAGTTTGACAAGTCTGCTCCATTTAATCTTTAAAGACCTGTGAATCTATGGCTAGAATCTTTATTAAATAAAAATTACCTTGAATCCTGTATGGAATCCAATTTTTTATCTGCCATATCAGCTATGTCACCCATGAGTGGACTATGATGTAGTTGTTGTTCATGTACACACAATGCAAATTTAGAGAGCAGAGGTGGAGTCAGTCTGAGGATAACAAAGAGAATAACGTTACTGTGTCAAAAGGCTACAGATAAACTAGGTCAATTTTCACTATTTCTCCATGAGTACCCTATACATATCCTAAGGAGAAATTTGCAGCTTAGAAACTTAATTAAGTAAAGGTAGAAAAGCCTTCCAGAAAGCATTCAATAACTTCAGGGTATAAAGCAATTGGAATTCGTTGTCACCATAAATTCCAGTGCAAATATCCACCTACTTCCTCTCTTTAAGGGATTGCAATTAAACTTAAGATTGGTTCAGATCCAGCATAAATCCACCCTAAATATGCTGGATGCAAAGCACTAGTAGTCCTCAACTTACAACAGTTCATTTAGTGACTGTTCAAAGTTACAACGGCACTGAAAAAAGTGATTTATGATCATTTTTCATGCTTATGGCTGTTGTGGCCTCCCATTGTCAACATGATTTACATTCAGATGCTTGACAACTGACTCACATTTATGATGATTGCAGTGTCCCGGAGTCACATGATCCCGTTTTGAGACCTTTTAACAAGCAAGGTCAATGGGGAAACCAGATTCACTTAACAACTGTGTCTCTAATTTAACAACTGCAGTGATTCACTTATCAAACGCGGCAAGAAAAATCATAAAACGGGGAAAAACTCACTTAACAAATTTCTCATTGAACAATACACATTTTGGGCTCAACTGTGGTCATAAGTTGAGGAGTACCTGTACATTTCCTGCTTCAGATCCAAATACTGCGGAACACTAGTATTTGAAGCTGTATAGTACTTCAGATTTAATTTGGAAAAAAAGTTGCAGACTGCACAGGACTATGAATAATGCCTTCCTACAGTTTCTGTTTACTTAACTACCCTGTTTCCCTGAAAATAAGACCTCCACAGATAATAAGCCCAATTGGGCTTTCGAGCGCATGTACTAAAATAAGCCCTCCCTTGAAAATAAGTCCTCCCCGACACAGCAGCAGCCATGAGGTGACCACACTCACCGCCTCCTGCACCTCAAAAATAATAAGACCTCCCTGAAAATAAGGCCAAGCAGCAGCAGCCATGAGGTGATCACACTCGCCGCCTCCTGCACCTCAAAAATAATAAGACCTCCCTGAAAATAAGGCCAAGCGCTTATTTC